GCATCACCTTAAAGGTCTTGCATGAGTTTTGCAGGACACAACCCCCTCTCCTGCCCCGGTGGGAGCTCTTCTCCCCATTAGACACCGGCAGCGACATGGTTTTTCCTGCTCCCACTGTCACCTGCCCTCTTTCAAGATGTTCCAGGGTGTCACCAGCCACTTAAATACACGCTGACCCCAGACTCCTGCCTGTCCCCACTGCCAGACCCCATTAGAAATGTCCCCAGGCGCATGGCGGGATGGGGACTGCGGTTGTAGGGATGGCAGAATTTATTCGGGCAGGCAGTCGGCATGGTGGTGACACGGTCACCTCCCGGCCGTCCCGTGGGGACTCGGCCCCGGTTCTCACTGGGCTGGGACTGGGCTCACACCGGTTTCTCCCATTGACAGTTGACATGAGCGGACGCCATGGGCTCCAGGTGACCAAGAAAGGCTGGAGAAAAGCCAAGGCTCGGTTTGAAGTGTGGGCAGGATCCGTGCAGATGCCCTTTCCGTCTCCAGGGTAAGGGCTTGCTCCCTCCCTTCCCATATAAGCAGCCCCACGGCTGAAGCCAGACGTGCCTGGGGGGTCCCACCCAGGGGTCCCCCCCACACCTCGGTGCCAGATGGGGTGCACGGACCACGAGATGACATCCCGGGAAGCTGGAGGGACACAGAGCCGCTGCCACCGAGCCCGAGGCGTTGGGAGGATGAGGTCTGCAGCTTGACAAGGCGAAAGGGGAAAAAAAAAAAATCACGTGCATTAAAGGTGTTCAAAGCCCCCAGCCGTGTCGCAGCCTGGTCTCCCTCGTGCCGCTGGTGTTTGAGCAGGGTTTTGCCCCTTTTTCTTGCAGGGCACCCCAAATCCCTGCGAGACCCGGTGTCCAGGGTGTGTTTCCTTCCCAGCGGGTCAAGCTTTTATTTCTCCAGCCCTCTCCTTCCCCACGGCAGGAGGTGAGGGGTGCCCCGAGGGGCTCCCCCAGCCCCGGAGGGGACAATGTCCTGTCCCTTTTGGGCTGGGGGGAGGCAGGAGCAGCCCGGCTTCGGGCTTGGCCGGCATGGGGATGGGCACATCTCACCTCACCCTCGCTCCCTTTCCCTCTCCTCGTTTCCACCCCAGACCTGGGAACTGGGTCTGGCCCCGCTTTGCCGGTCCACAGGGCTCCCCGGGGGTGGCCCTGATGGGGGACGGGTGGGACAGGTTGTGCAAACAGGGACGCGGGAGGGACAAACACCCAGCCAACACCACCAGCTCCCAGTGCACTGACTGGTTGCTCCAGACCCAGCTGGGGCCGCTGGTCCCGAGACTCACTCCAGCCCTGCAGCCCCCATTTTTCTGTCCTTGAGTCAAATTTCAAGGCAAAAACAGAGCCTGGAGACCTGCAGCTCCAGGAGCAGACAGGGGACAATTCACAGCGTCACCGCAGAGGTTGGTGACTCCGGTTGCTCCCTCGGCATTTGGGTGCCGGAGCCAGGGAGCCGGTGCCGGGTCCAGCCGGGGCTGCTGCGGCTCAGGCCCCTCCCCAGGGAGGGCCGCGGGGT